GCAAGAACCCTAGACCTAAGTGTCAGCAAGAACCCTCGACTTAAGGAGTGGATGGTGAGATCTTACCTTAGTTGAAAATGATAATTAAACATTTCTTGTAAAAGCGTGAAAACCTCTATCTAACAGATAATTTTAAAATTGTAAGACTAACATTGATATGGTAGCCGACAATATTTGTAGCAAAAGAAGGAAGAGAGGGATAAGAAGGTAAATAAAGGAAATATGAGGGGGCTTTGTGGAAAGAAAATAGTTATAGGCAAGTAGGGCAAACCATGATTTTGTTTAGGTGAAGGGAATTGTGTTTGCTATTATTAGAGTGAAAGTAGAGGACAGTCAAAGGTCAAAGAGTGAACAGAATATGTGGGGTCTACCTTTGTCTCACACCGCCTTTAAATTCTTCCATCTTTTATTTTCATTATTATCTATCATTTATCATCATTTTATTTATTTATTTATTTATTTATTTATTTCTTTATTTATTTATTTATTTCTCATGTGGGTAACAATATTATTCAATGCTTGCTTACCACTTCAATTTCTTGGGTCCCTCTCCCCACATAATCAACCACCTTCCTTATCCAACACTACTTACTCCCTTCTTTTCAAAGCTTTTAATCATTCATTTATGAATTTGAGGCGTCCAACAGAATTTAACTCAACTATATACCCATCGATTACAAGACTAGAGGTTGAATTCTCGAACTAAAAGTCTAATAGTTATGTTTTCGATTTTTCTTTCAGGTAAAATTATCGACTTAACTAAAGTTATATCGTGGGTTTTTAATTTCTTAAGTGGGTGATTTATAAAAATGGGATAGGAGGTAACTTACGCTTTAGGGTTTACTTGTGAGTGAAGCATTGTCGAGAATGATAAAGAGGCAGAGTAAAACTTTTGTGATAAAATCTAATCCAATCTTCATAGTATTAGTAATCAAAATCAAATTATTAACGATGAAAATTATATATATATATATATATATATATATATATATATATATATATATATATATATATATATATATATAATTGGGAATAAAGAAAGGAATAGGAAAAAAAAGAGGAAAATGGAGAATTGAAAGGAAAGTGATAAGAAGGAGAAGGCGTGAGGATTTAGTTTGAGAGCGTGAGGCGGCAGGAGCCACGCTTGAGCGTGACCCGGTTGTCTCCGGTCAACCCGGCAGTATTTGGTTCTACAGCTCTTACACTAAAATCCCCACTTCCGCACGTGCTCCTGCTCTTCCCCCAATTTTCGTTCCTCCCCACTTCACACGTGTGCCCCCACTTTATTCCTTCCATTTATTTCTCCCCCTCCCTCCATTTATTTAACTTCTCATCTCCCACCCATTTATGTCTCTCTAATATTCTCTAACTTCAAATATTTTTTTAATGCTACCAAATTGTTTAAATATTTATATATTGTCCTCCGTCTCACGATTTTAAAACACGTCTCTTAAGATTATATTTTTACACTTTTATAAATAATGTTTCGTTTTCCTCTCAAATTAGTGTGAGATCTCACTCTAATAACTCAAGTCAACCCCTAATTGATAGTATTCTCTTTAGACTTTTCTTATTGGACTTCCTCTCAAAGTTTTAAAACCCCGGAGAGGTTTCTACACTTTTATAAATAGTTTCACATTCACTATCCACCCCTCTTTGAAGCCACCGTCCTCGCTGGCATACCACTCAATGTCTGGCTTTACTAGCACATATTGTTCGCTATGACCCGTTATGTATCGCATGATTTTAAAACGCATCTATTAAAAAGAGGTTTCCACACCCTTCGTATATTCTTATACATTCTCTTTCTATCCCCAAAAGCCCTATTCTCATAAACAATTTAATTTTTTAATTTTTTTTAAGGAGAAAAACTTAAAATATTTGTTATTTTAATTACAACCTTAAAAAATTGGTTTCATGTGAATGGCACAAGCGGACACAACTCATTCACATTTAAAAAAATAATTATATTAATCTTTAACATAATCTTTTATGAATTCTTTTTGAGATTCCATTGGTGGCTATTACATTATTATTATTATTATTAATTATTAATTTGAAAATATTATTGATTTATTTTAATATGAAATTTAAAATTAGAACAATCAATTTTCTAGTTAACTTTATCTCTCTGAGTGGTGAGTGCACCTCTTTTGAATAAGCTTCCACTTTTGCACATTAAATAAATTTAATTCAAATAGACCATATAGTGAATAAAAAAATATCCCACTTTTTATATATATATATATATATATATATATATATATATATATTCTGTTAAATTACGTGCAATTCAAATCCTAGACATGAAACGTTAAATTAATTATATTAATATATATATAAAATTATTTATATATATTAATGACTTTTATAATTGGATATCTAGTTTGCTTTCCATTGTCCAAAAAAGATCAATCTTCTAAAGATATTTTCTTAAATAATTTAATTTTAAAAGTTTTTTTTTAAGCGATCGTAAAGGAAGAAATTCTCATTCGACTCTGTGATTCATACTTTCACTTAATAATTTTATTTCAAATCTAATTTATCGACGTTATAAATAATTATTATTCACAAATATCTATAAATTATAATTTAAATTAGGATGATTGAGAAAAAAAAACCCATTAAATTTTTTTAAATGGAAGGAATTATTTTTTAAAACACATAAAAAAGAAAAAAAAAAATTGTTCATTCAAATTTCAATTATTGAAATTGACTTTCCACGTGGGACATCGTATGTGCACCACGTGTACATGTGGTCCCTTGCTAAAGTCCAAATATCTACAAGAAAACAGCTGGAATTTTTCTATTGGCAGTTTGGGTTGTCCACGTCGACTTTTTCCCTTTCATATTATTATTATTATTATTATTATTTGTAAAAAATAAAAATGGAAAAAGGTGGCTTTGGCCTTGCAAAATTATTGATGGCATGCACACATTTAAATATAAATAAATAAATATTTATTTATTTATTTAAAAAAAAGGTGATTTGATTTTTATCATAAAAGAGTTTGGTGGGGCCCTGAGGCGGAAAGACGACACGTCGGCGTCAATTCCTTACAATTAAAAATATATTAAATAATACAAAAAACACACTTTTAAATTATTATAGAAATTATTATAGTTTGACTTGATTTGACAATCTTTGTCATCGCCAAAGTTGGCGGTGACACCTCATCCATTAATTCAATATTTCATAAATTAATATATATATTAATTAATTTATGAATATTTATTAAAACATATGACAAAATGTGTTTTAAATATATTCTATTACAAATTTAAAATTCATAATTATTAGTGGCATGCTTTGTAAATTTAAATTTTAATACAAGGTTAAAATAGTCCTAAAAATAATTCCTCCCTAAGTCACTTTTGAACCTAGTAAAATAAAATAAGATAAAAATATAAAAATTAATTACTATGAGGGAAATAAAATTACATTTTTAGGTTTCTTGAGCTGTGCACTAATTAAAAATTAAGTCAACAATGGAGGGCTAAACACAAATTAATTGGTTTATTTTTTTTTATTTAATCTATTTTTACTTTCACCTACCACTCGTTCGATTTTGTAGCTACGAATAAAGTAAATAATTGACGTGTCGTATTATTTGAAGAAAAGAAAAAATACCAAAAAAAAATTGAATTCACAACTAAAATACCGTGACGTTTTTATTTCTATTTCGGTAAGCAATAAAAAGACTCCGTTATTCTCTATTGTAAATTTTAACTATGAATAAAAATTATAACTTTTACGTTTTTTATTTTTTGAAACGTGCTACTATGAACATAACTTAAAAATATTAAGGCACTGCTTTTACGTTTAATGTCATAAATTCAAATGAAAGTTTTATTCTCGTGGCATTTATCTTTTCCCGTGTGGCATTGACTTAGTTTTGTTCGAGGTTGTTGTCTTGTAGGATTGATCCATATTAACATTATAATTGGTTCAGTTTTAACGGGAATGTTTAGCTATACTAGAGAGTTGTTAGCTAACTTTTGATACTGCTTGATCATATTAGGAATGATATGCATAGGCATCATTATTAATGTTCGGAAATGTTTTTCATAGGGATAAACTTTAGTTCTTGGAGGACTGCAAGACGTTTCGTTTTACAAGATTGACACAAACAAATATCATTGCTAGTATGATACTACATTTGTTTTCTGTTCATATGGTACTTGAACTTACAAGGCGTATGATGGGAGCATTGATAAAGCTATGGAGCAAATTGTTCTAATGTCGAGATCCTAAATAAATATTTATTTGAAATTTGATTCATTTATAATAATAATAACAATAATGAAGAGATCACGATTTTGCTTGATTTGGTTGTCAATTGACCAATTTATTGCTTGGATGGGTGCTGAATTATTTGATGCTTTCATGCATTTTTGATTGTTGAATAAACACCGGAAGAGTAAGTTTGCATAATAGGGTCGATCTCTGTGATGTCCCATATTAGTTGGAGAGGAAAACAAACCACCATTTATAAAGGTGTGGAAACCTTCTCCTACTAGACGCGTTTTAGAGCATTGAGGTGAAACTCGAAAAGAAAGCCCAAAGAAAACAATATCTGCTAGTCAAGCCACGAAACCAATTTAATTGAGTAGCAAATAAAAGAAAAAAATTAATTTATAGAGATTGTAATTTAAAATTAATTTATACGCAAATAATAATAATAATAATAAATAATTTTATGTTATGATTATCTTACGTGGTATTTCGAAAATTGAAGGGAAAAAAAATTATTTGTTGGAGGGAGGAGATGCTATCGTCGCTCTAGATCTGCGCAAGGAATCTAGTGGTTGTTGTGGACGCGGGGAATGTTTGCCGGCGTTCGAAATTTGTGCGATGGAGTAGCTCCTGGCGTTCCAGATCTTCAGAACGGTGTAGTTTCCGGCGACAATGTAGATCATTGCAAGGAGGAGGAAGAGATGGAGAACCAGTCGGCAGGTTCGAACCGCTCAGAATTGCCGAAATCCTGCAAGGTAAGATAGTTATAAATGTTCCTGGTATGCCTCGGCTCGACTATGGCCAGCTTTCCTTTTCGATAGGTTCAAATCCTCTGAGATAAGTTTGAAAACAACCTGAATGGATTGTTAATATGATATATAAGATCATTACAAGAAATAGTACTGAAATATTGATTTCTTGTTCAATCCTGTAAATTGCATGAAAGTAGGATACTCTAAATTCGGGATTCTATAAGTTTCATAAACTGTTCTTGATGGAAAAGAAAAAGTGATTGAAAGATCCCTTAAATTAGGTTACGAACCAAATTCTCTTGTTCGCTGAGATTCCTTACAGCCCTAGTATAAGGAGTTGGGATTTACACACTTTAAAACACAATCAAGTACAATACTGACTTAAATAGAGATGCTACTCATGAAATTCCTGAGTGAGAGGAGAATGACTGCTCATGCTGCAAGTAGTGCGCCTATCAAACCAAACAATTGAGCTCATCTGCAATTTGATTCACCACAACTGTTTCCATTTCTACGGCTGCACCAATCGCCTCAGGTTACTCACAAGCCCCAAATGTCATATTTCCCTGCATCGTTCATTCATCAAAATTTTAGACAGCTTCTGTGCTAAAGAAATAAATTCTTCTCACCCATTCTGGTTATGCAGACCATTTTTTTAGTCATAATTGCCATTGTTTCCATTTTAGATTCAATCTAATCTGTCAGAATCTTGGCTTTTGTTCTTATAGGATATGCAAGAATTGGGTAGATGTTGAAGTAAACAAAGAGTCACTTTCAGCATGTGCTCATAGATTGTGTCAAAGAGATACTCTTACGATGGCAAGAATGAGTTCCTATACTGATTTTCAGTAGTAATGGCTAACCTTGCAATTGGAAATGGTTGGACATCCACAAATAGACTGACCGTTTGATACATCAACGGCTTCTGGAGCTCCTCCCCCGTCACTTCTCTGAGATATACATTCCAAATTGAACTATGTTTAGTCTATATCATTGATAAGTTTCAAAGGAATTTGAAGCAACTGATTTTGTTGGCTTAGTTTTGTGCTTGATTACCTTGTAGAAGTCAACAGCAATGAAGTTAGGCCATCTTTTTCCTGCTGCATTATAGCAAGTGTTCACCATGTTGAGTAATGGTGCTGAGTTGTCCCTGCAAGCTGCAGGGAAATTTGAAGCACTTCTGAAGAAATTTACGATTACGAGTGACCTTGAAGTCGTGTTCATCGGTGTTGATTCTCCTCGGTTTGGGCATGAACCTGCTTTCATTCCTTCATCGCCATCTGTATAAGGATTGAATCTATAAGAAAAACTATTGGATTCAGGAAGCTTTATTCGGTTTGGTGAATTAAGAAATGACCTTACATTGGTTCTCTACCATGTAATTCCATACGTATGCAATTCCTTCAGAGGCTTCTTTTGCCGCTTTGGAAGTAAAAACAAGCAAGCGTTTGTTTTTCTGGATCATGTCACTAACAGTGGGCCAATCTCCACCATTCTTGGGCATACTTGATACTGGGAACCAGAATTGTTGCAGACCAGCAGCAGCAAACACATTAGTCAGTCCGTTTGGCGTCGTGACATAGTCTTCGATGATAATGGTGACGATTTCAGAAGGGTTTGCTCCAAGAAATGCTTGGAACTCTTTCAGAACATCAATGGCTGGTTGCTGGGCATTCAAAGTTTTGCATGAACTTGTTCAAGATATCATAAACAAGGAGAAAGAATGGCATATTGAGGCAATATTCAGAACACAGAATGGCAGTCTACAAATTGGACACTTACGAAAGCTGTAAAGTCGTGACATTGGCCTTCGAATGAGTGACATAACCATATATCATTTCGAAAGTCATACGTATCAAGCATAAATCCTCTTACTCCATTCTGCAAAATGAAAAGGTTTCGTTGTATAGAGGTTTAGAAGTTATGAATAATCAATAAGCAGAAACGGAAAGGCAGTAACGGACATTGAGCTGGCTAGTAATGGAGCCCTGTTGATTGGTAGGAGCAAGAATCGGAGTCCCAGTTTCAGACTTCGCCCCTAATATGGCGAATGAATTGTGGGTCGTCAACCATGTGTACTTATTAAATGGAAGATCATTCACCTGCTCCAAAAGTTAAAAAATAACCCACAATTCCAAAACCAAGGAATCATTATAGCTACCTACGTTTAAGAATGAAAAGCTGTGATAAGCTTTGATATCGTGTTAAGAATGAGAAACATAAGTTGGATAAAAGTCTTTAGAACGTGTTATCAGAGCTTTTCATTTTTAACACAGACCTTTGAAATTGGACTGATTGGCTGGATTCGAGTGCAACGCGGCCGGATATTGCCGTTGGCAATGCAAGTCTGGCAATGCAAGCCGGCGTCGCAGTTACCATTATAAAGACACGTCCCACCCTCCTGCAAAAACAGAGAAACCCAAACAATTGCAGCTGAAAATCCCAGAGTCTCGAAAAAAGGAAAAGAAACGAAATGGGTGTTCGAACCTTGCGAGCTGAAGAAGAGTGGAAGAGAAAGAGAAAGAGAAACAGAGTCGCCGCCAGAAGTAATCTCCGGGAGAAATCAGGACGAGCCATTTGGTGGAGGCGAGCCAGGGGCCGGTGTTTGGAGCGATGGAAGGCGAGTTCCTGTAAACAGAGGACGCTGAGGCTGCGATGTAATGGACTCAATATGGCGCGCAGAGGCTTACAGGTATTTACTCCACTCGCTGTCACGCCTTACCTGCAATTTTTTTTTAATAAAGAAATTTATTTATCGTAGTATTTTTTTAAAAAATTGAAAAATACTTCCTTATTTAATTTTCTTTTTAAAAATAATTCCTTAAATAAAATGTTTCCTTGTTGAGTGGTAGTGCCAACTAATAATATTGAACTTCTTAACACACTAAAATTCTATATATATATATATATATATATATATATTTAATGCCGGTAGTTAAGTTTTTTGTTTTTTTAATAAATTATTTATAGTGCGTTTGATAATTATTTGATTTTTTTTTTTTAATTATGATAAGTTTCTCCTACTTTGTTTATAACAGTTTTCATATATATTAAAGAAATATTTAATTTTTGAGTTAAATTCAAAAAATGAAAATAAGCATTTCAATAACTTTTTGAGTTTTTAAATGGTTTGGATTTTAAAAACATTCGGTGCATTTAGTCTAAAAAGATATGGCCATAGAAAAGAACAGAAAAAAGTTATTAAAAACAATATATTTCATGTCCGAAAATGAAACTAAAAGAGTTTCCTTGGAAGAAATATTAATTGTTATCCGTAAGCAAACGGCACTCTGTTTATGAATTATTGGAGTTTGTCTATTGTTTGTTAGATTATTGTTTTTTAAATTATTGAAATGATAATTAGTATTTTATTTATTAATTTCTTTACCTAATTCTACTTAAGTTTATTTTTTATATACATTTTTTTTTTCATTTAACAAATATTCGAATATCTTACTATGTTTATGATTTGGATTAAGATTCATAATTTAGATTCGGCAGCTAATACCCCTGTCATTCCCGTGCAACATGGTAAGAGCACCCATTTCTTGCTAGTACTTATTTCTCGCTTTTAGGAGTCAAGATTATCCTCGTCGACCAATCTGAGTTATTGGATTGGAGTTATTGGGAAAGATTTCTGTTTCTAGCTAAGTTATAGTTGATGGGCCTTAAGTAGAAATTCTGTTAATTGGCTTTGTAAGTTCGGCTTTTTGTTTACTGGGCCTCATAAGTTTGGGCCATTCACTCAGACGATTTAAACATTTTTAAAAAAATATTACAAAAATATTAGATATTACGAGGTCCAAGAATGCATATAAATTTGTCGATTAATACATCTATACAAGAAATCTAATAATTTTCTGTCAATTTGATTTTACTTGTTCTATCTCTAATTATAAATCAATATAAAGTTGTTAGGATGCTCTAGTGGAACAGAATAAGATTTAAGAGACTGAGGAGCGAAGTTTATGTTTTAGTTTGATATTTGGTTTACTCTCGCCAAGACAAGATTTTAAATATTGTTTGTTTTAATTGCTATGTATCGCTATCAGTCTCACGATTTTAAAATGCTTCTATTAGAGTGAGGTTTCCACACCATTATTAGGAATACTTTGTTCCCCTCTTCAATCGATGTGAGATCTCACAATCTACCCCGCTGACACATCGTTTGGTGTCTGGCTCTGATACTATTTGTAATAGTTCAAGTCCACTGTTAGTAGATTTTATCTAGTTTAGCCCGTTACATATTACTTTTTAAAACGTGTGTACTAATTTAAAGTTTCTATACCCTTCTTTAGCATATACTTAGTTGCTCACACCTGAATTATTAACCTAATTAGTTTTTGTATCCCAGAGTGGTTAAGGTTTAGGCAAATTTTTAAAATTTTAAATTTCAAATTGGAGAAAGAACAAGATTGTGGTAATGTTGTTGAATAATGAGGAGAGAGAGAGAAAAGAGGAAAGGGATATACAAAGTTGGTTCTTTTTCTCTCTTGTCTTACATCATCAAACTATTTTTGACCCATTTGATTTGTCTGTGTGCTGCATACTCTGTTCCTCAATTATTCTATCTTCTTCTTCTCAGGTGTTTATGTTTTGAGCTTCTAACTTCAACATCAAGCATTAACCAATAATTTGACGCAATAATTAATAATGATGAACTTAATAATTAACAGTAGCCTTTTTGAAGAGATTCTTCGGATAAGATTTTAAGAATTCTAGATTTTCCTTTACATTCATGAGTGTAAAAAAGAAAAGAAAAGAAGAAAAAGAACTTTAGGATAATTTGTCTTTATCTACTTTTCTCTTGGAATGTTTAAGATTCTAATTATTCTAAATCTGGGTTTTAAACTACAGTTTCATACGATTATTAAAGCCACTAATTGAATGTAAAGTTTCAATAATTGAATATGAAACCGAAATAATGTCTACAGTTTCGTATTTTGCTAATAAATGCACTCAGAAGATTGTTTGGTTGGCGTTTTTTTGGCGTCATTGTTCTTAAATTGGCGACTTTTGAAGTTAACAATCATAAATTGAACAAACTATGATGAATTTGGTACTCAACGCAGTCTTTTTGACTCAACTTTGCTTCTCTAATCTTGTTTTTGCTATACCCAAATTTTGGTTTCCATTTTTTTTCTTTTGCTTTTTATAATTGTTAGTGGCATTTGCCCACGCGCTTGAACCATTGCTTAGTTCCTCACTCTCTCCCCTTTTAAAGCTTCTTAAAAATGTGCTAAAACGGCCGCCGTTCCTTGGCGCCATTGGCTTCTTCGCTAGCTCCGACGACGACAAAGAATCTCTGCCTTCACCATGGCGGCAATCGCAGTGAGTAGAGCTTTGTTTCTAATGGGGTTTCTTCTGTTTCTTCAAGAAACAATGGCGGGTTAGTCTCTTTGTCGCATTTGATTGAATATTCAAACGAAACTCGTCTCTGTCTCTGTTGATTGATCTTCCATTTTCTCTATGATTTCTTTTCTGGAGTTTATTTCTCTGATCTAGTGGGAGTTTTTGGTGGAAATGGTGTTTGTGGAAATGGGTTTTTAGTCTTCTTAGAACACTATGAACAGCGATAAAATGATTCAGGGTTAAATGGGTAGGTCTCGTTTTGCTTCTTAAATGCGCCACTGTCTTTGCTGGAGCCTGAGCTTGATTTGGTTCTCTTGTTGATCTTTGTGTTAAGATGAACATATTTCAGGATTTTTCAGGAGCAAATGTTATGTTCAAATGGTTGGATTATAATTCCTTAATGTTCTGAAACTTTCACAGATTGTCCCTTGAACTTGAGTGGATCAAACTTTACTTTAGCTGCTTCTATTTGTTCTAACCCCAATGAAAGAGGGAAATGCTGCCGCTATATCAATGCATTTGTTGCAGTTTCTGTTGCTCAGCTTGCTAATGTGACTGGTGAACTAGGAGTTTCTTCAAACTTGTCTAACATTTGCCTGCAATCATTGTTTGAAACTATGGAACTGTATGGAGTTCCTAGAAATGCCACTGGTTTCTGTGGGGTTGGGACAAAGATTACAGTGAATTACACGTGTAGAGGTCGAGAAACTGTCGAACAAATGCTGGAATCTCCAAGTTTCTCAAATGTTAGTGACAATTGTGAATTGCCTCTCTTGGAGGAAAGTGTTTGCAGGAAGTGTATCAATGCTGGGATTTTGTATCTACGTAATCTGATTGGAAGAGAAGACAATATAACGTTAAATACTTGTCGCGACGCGACGTTTGTTGCACTTGCTAGCCATCTTGATACTGCTTCAGTCGTTGATCTTGCAACATGCTTCTTTGGAGTTCAAGGTCTTGACAAGCCTCCAGGTATGGATGTACAAAAAATGCAAATGGGAAATTGGATTAGTTTCTTTTTGTAGAGCCTCATAGGCAAGGGTCAAACTTCTTCGTTTGCACAGCTAGGTGTTTCTTTTTGCTATTTCTTACGATCTGTGAGATCCCACATTGATTGGAGAGGGGAACGAAATATTCCGTATAAGGGTGTAGAAACCTCTCCATAGAAGACGCGTTTTAAAACCTTGAGAGGTTGCTCGAAAGGGAAAGCCCAAAGAGGACAATATCTGCTAGTGGTGGGCTTGGACCATTACGAATGATATCAGAGCCAAGCACCAAATGGTGTGCCTACGGGGACACTGGCCTCCAAGAGGGGTGAATTGTGAGATCCGACATTGGTTGGAAAGGGGAACGAAACATTCCTTATAAGGGTGTGTGGAAACCTCCCCCTAGAAGGTGCGATTTAAAACCTTGAGGGGAAGCACGGAAGGGAAAACCCAAAGAGTACAATATCTACTAGCGGTGGGTTTCAACCATTACAAATGGTATCAGAGCCAGACATTGAATGATGAGCCAGTAGGGACGCTAGGCCCCAAAAAAGGTGGATTGTGAGATCCCACGTTGGTTGGAGAGGGGAACGAAACATTCCTTATAAGTGTGTGCCTCCAAAAGGGGTGGATTGTGAGATCCCACATTGGTTGGAGAGGGGAATGAAACATTCCTTACAAAGGTGTAGAAACCTCTCCCTAGCAGACACGTTTTAAAATCTTGAGGGGAAGCCCGGGAGGGAAAGTTCAAAGAGGACTGTATCTGTTAGCATTAGGCTTGGGCCATTACACTATCATTTGCACAATGTATGTTATTCTATGCCATCTGCTAATGTTATGGGGATACGATTGTGCACCAGTTAGTTCTAAAGTTTATGTAAGCATATATTTTTAGCAACCTCTGAAGATGGAATGAATAATTATTTTTTCTCAAGTTCCTCTTCTCCAACTTAGATTATAGAGTGATTTAAACTTCATGCTCTCTTCAGCTCCATCCCCTTCTTTTGCTCCCCCAGATATTGCCCCAAGTCCATCAGCTGCTGCAAGTCCGGGGCCAACGATACCAGGTGTTTCCGACGATAAAAGTCATAAACGTCATTCCTACCATCTAACATTAGTGGCGGGTATTGGCATTGCGGTGACCGTGTCTTCCATATTGATTCTGGTCGTCTTGATCGTGCTGATTCGAAGGAAAAACAGAGAGCTAAAGGATTCTGATATGGCAGATGGAAAATCATCGAAATTCTTGCCTTCTCGTCCCATCAAAAAGTATCAGGAAGGTGGGGTGATTTGTCTGCAGTTCTATAGGTTTTTCAAGTTCTTTGCTTATACATGTTCAAATAATCTTCCTGTTCTTTCTCTTTTGTATTTTATGCCCTTTGTTGCACTTGACATCTCGTGCAGGACCTTCTACGTTTAAAAAGTTCAGCTATAAAGAGATCAAGAAGGCAACAGATGGATTTAGTACAACAATTGGACAAGGAGGATATGGAACGGTTTATAAAGCTCAATTCAGTGATGACTTAGTGGTAGCTGTGAAGAGGATGAACAAAGTCTCCGAGCAGGGGGAGGATGAATTTGGTCGAGAAATCGAGCTGCTCGCAAGATTACATCACAGACACCTGGTTGCTTTAAGAGGCTTTTGTGTTGATAAGCATGAACGGTAATTCACGAAGTGTAACTTTTTTCCGGGCGTTTAAGATCATGTGCCAACAACATGAAATGCTACTTGTTTTTTCCTTGGCAGGTTTCTTGTGTACGAGTATATGACTAATGGAAGCTTGAAGGATCATCTTCATGGTATGTTAGTTTCTTCATTTCACTCAAGCCCACTTCTTGCTAATATTGTCTACTTTAGCCTGTTACGTATCGCAGTGAACTTCACGGTTTTAAAACGTGTCTACTAGGAAGAGGTTTCTACACCGTTATAAGGAATGTTTCGTTCTCCTCTCCAACCAATATGAGATCTTGTAGTCCACCCTCTTAGGAGCCCAACATCCTCGCTGACACACTCCTCGGTGTCTGGTTCTGATATCATTTGTAACAACTCAAGCTCACCGCTAGTAGATATTGTCTGCTTTAACCTGTTATATATCGTCATCAACCTCACAGTTTTAAAACACGTATGCTAGGGAGAGGTTTTCACACCCTTATAAGGACCATATTTGCTAGAGAAACTCTTCATTTATAAGGGTGTGGAAACCTCTCCCTAGCAGATGCGTTTTAAAATCGTAAAGTTGACGGTGATATGTAATGGGCTAAAGCGGACAATATCTGCTAGCAGTGGGCTTGGGCTGTTACACTTTTCCCCCCTTATACTTCACTAACTTTTGGATTCGAGTGTATTGATACTTATATGCTCCCCGGCTCCCCGGCCATTTTTTGTTTCAAAGTGTTGGAAAGAAGCGGTGGAAACTTAAAACATTTAGAAGCTCTTACAGAGAAATTTTGGGTTAATATGATTTTTATAGCCCTTTATGCTCAGTCAAGTTTTTGGGTTAAATGAAAGAGCTTCTTTTTATCATCTTCCCTTGAATCAGTGTATAAGTAAACGCATTCTTACGCTCGTGCAGGTCCTGGCAAGACACCTCTAAGTTGGCAGACGAGAATACAAATTGCCATCGACGTCGCCAATGCTCTGGTAGTGTGCTGATACTCTTGTTCCCATCAAGAGCTAATGAACTACTAGCTTAACCATCAAAAGCTGTCTTTTTGCAACTTTTTTAGTGACTTGAACTTGTCCTCTGCAGGAGTACCTTCATTATTATTGTGATCCCCCATTATGCCATAGAGACATTAAGTCCAGCAACATTTTGCTGGATGAGAACTTTGTTGCTAAGGTAACTTGGCAAGTTCATTTGGTAACAAACTGCAGACACAAATGCCCTTAACTTCTTGTTATTCTGTTTCTTCTTTCAGATTGCAGATTTCGGCCTTGCGCATGCTTCAGAGGGCGGTTCTATTTTCTTTGAACCCGTAAACACCGACATCTGTGGAACGCCAGGTTTGGAAGAAGATGAGTTCTTCAACTTATGTTTGAATATCGTCGATTCTTATGCTAGCAATATCTCAATGCTAATGAATTTCAGGTTATATGGATCCCGAGTATGTTATCACGCAAGAGCTTACCGAGAAAAGTGATATATACAGCTATGGCGTGCTGCTCCTGGAAATAGTTACGGGCAGGCGTGCTATACAAGATGGTAAGAATTTAGTAGAATGGTCTCAGGTGTACATGGTTCCAGATTCAAGGATATCGGAACTAGTAGATCCAAGGATCAAGAGTTGTTTCGACTTAGAACAACTCCACACAGTCGTGTCAATTGTGAGATGGTGCACCGAGGGAGAAGGCAGGGTAAGGCCGTCAATTAAACAGGTGCTTCGAGTATTGTACGAGAGTTCGGACCCGGTGCATCAAGAGCTGGTGGAAGCTGTTGATGAAGAAGAAGAATATGGAGGGAGTGAAGGAAGGCAGAGCATGAGCAGCAGGAGAAAAGGGCATAGAAGTGATGTGATTTTTCACAGTGGAGAAGGAAGGTATCTTGCATCTTCATCAAGCACAACAAAGTCATATTGTAGTAGAAGCTTTTTGCTTGAAACCGGTTCACCACAATCTCCTCCCAATATTTTCTCTGTCACAGATCAATTGTTTTAGAAAACAAAAATTTAAAAGAGAACAGAGAGATTGGAACTTCTTTCATTTCCACATTGATGGTTTGTGCCAAACCAAAATTCTTGAAAGGATTGAAATATTTAGTATTATGTTAGCCTATTCAAAGATCATGTACAGGTAGCTAACCTGCTAGATTCAATTTAGTCTATATTTACAAAATTTAAACACAAATTATCAAAATTCTTTAATATAAATTTATAGTTTAATTTCAAGAAATTTAGTAATTAAAATATCATGATAAACTATCATTAAAAAAATGAAAATAAATATCATTTTTAAAATTTTTAGAACCCATGATTTATTATTTCATCTGTCTATAAATAATGAGTTATATTATTTATATTTACAAAATATGTAACTCTAATAATAATAAATATATATTTACACCAATTAGTATCCCTTTTTTCGGAAGAAAAGGAGGATCTGGACAAAATCGATGAAATGGAAGAGATCCAAGTGAATGGAAAGGAAAAAACAAATGATGAATTCCACTTTAAAAGGACACGCTATCAAAAGATAAAAAGACCTGTTTATGAAACTTTTTACCCTCCAGATGGAAATAAAGAAAATTACAAAATGCTGTTAGATTTAGATACAGACGAAAAAGATATGTTATGGTTTGAAAAACCTCTTGTGACTATTCTTTTCGACTATAAACGATGGAATCGTCCACTTCGATATATAAAAAATAACAGATTAGAAAATGCTGTTAGAACTAAAATGACACAATATTTTTTTTATACATGCCAAAGTGACGGAAAGGACAGAATAGTTAAACCAATTGACACGTTACTACGACTGTTCTAACGAGGCGACTACCTAAGCTATCCAATATTATAATGTATTTTTGTAATATGAATTTCCATAATTTATAAGAGTAATCCCTCATCAGTTGTCGATTATCATACAACAAACAAACAATTCAAGCACACTGTTATTTGATGAGGATGTGAAATTGAATATACGAAGTTCATCTTGTTGGTGAAGAAAAATAAACTAAACTAAACTAATCATGGGTTTCTATTTCTTGGTACTAATTCTGGTAAAAAGTTGCATATCTCAAATTTTTGGCTTCTTTGTGCCTGTATTCAATGGATCACCTTTACGCTTTATCCCCAAGAAATGCTCGACCTGAAAATAAGATGACCAAATTATATAAATTAACAGCAAGTCTCGAAATGACGAATTCTATATGCTGAGAGTCTGAAAATGAGAAGTTTGGTAATAAGGCAGTTGATTTATTGATTTAAAAATTGAACTTACATTGAAACAAAAATGAAAATGTGAATGACTATATGCTTAGTGTGTACAAAAATGAAATTCGGGTACGCATATTACTAGAAATCTCCCGTATTGCATATGTTCCTAACTTATCTATAGCTGCCACCAATTCTTAAAGAACTTCCTCGATACTATAATCTCGTTGAGTAATAAATACTTAGAAGAACAAGGAAAGAATACTCACTTTTCTGTCACCAAGCATGGGTGTCAAGCCGCCGGGGAGATCCTTTTCGACGGTAGCAAAACCACTTCTTGGATCACTTGTTTGGCTACAAACATTAAAGACAACCAGAAAACAGTTTGAAACTGAATGGCTAAATGCAAAAACAAGAGGCAAAATACTTGTTCCAATGAAAACCAAGCATACCCAGGTTTAACGTGACCGCTGAGAACAAGGTAAGGTGTTTTTAATTGTGCTTGAGCTTCCCTCATTCTCTCCACTGATAACGAAGGTGTGTCTGCATTCTTCATCTGCTTCAACTTCAACTCTTCTTGGTATTGCTTCATGCGCTTTTCTTGTTTCATTTTCCCAGGTCCCTTGCCATGGAACTTGTGAGAAAGTTGGCGAAATGACTCCTTTGGAGTCATCTGGTACAGTAGAAAGGCACAAGTGAGAATAGAAAACTCCTTAATGGTAAGCATAGGAGTAATATCATGCCCATAGACAAGATAGACCAGAAATTATAATCAAACTCCCTTGGAACAAGAGAACAAAATTGACACCTCTAAGCAAAAGCCCTGTGCAGTTGGCATAAACATGTAGGACTGCCAACAATTCAGAGATGAGAGACTCATATTTAGCGCAACTTGAATGTCTGTGTATTATTTGTCTTCTGGTAGTGAGTGCATTTCATTGTTGGAATAAAATACAAAGAAGAAGAGCAAACATGACTTAAAGTATGGCAATTTGAGAAGTAAACGAACACAATTTCCTAAATGTAATTTTACGCATTTAAAAAAGAAATCCTACTTTAACTTGGCACCTAGCTCCTCAATACACTACCAGTAGGCATTTAAAAACCAGTAAGTGAATATGTGGTGCAAGTAAACTAGATATGAACTACTTGGCTAAGTAAATTATAGAGTCGAAGCTAACTTACAATTCGCCCAAATTCATCAGTCCTCTCAATGTGAATCTCCTTTTTGTAATCCACCAAAGAAGATAAACGGGAATCCTTTGACTTAGCTTCCTTCGGTTCATCTTCATCTATTATACCAACAAGTTTGCTCTTTCTCTTGTCCATGTTTCTGCCACCCCATTCAATGCTTTCCTTCAGAGTCCCACGATCCTTAAGCAGCTTCAGTACACTGGATAATCCCTTTCCAACAGGAACTTCATGGATTGTTTCATCCGGAGCTATAGTTTCATTATCCTCAGGAGCGGGTTCTTCTTTGGCAGTATCTTTGACCTCAGTCCACCCACCATCTTTATCCTTCTCATCTTCATGATATTCTTCTTTTGGTGCTTCATCGTCATCCATAAAGACATCTTCTTCTTCAGGTTTATGAGATTCTGAAAGAAAAAGAAAAAAAAAACCAGTTCACTCTCCCTGGTTTTCCTCATTTATCTCATTTTTAAACCTTCTATTCGCGATTATAAAGCTTTTAATTATGACATATCCATTTAGAACAGAAAATAGCATGCCAGAATTTCTGTTTTACTTGAGTCAAGCAAATAGACGTCGTAGTTCAGATTTAGCAAGCACACGAAAAAACAGGTCTTATAGATGATTAGTGTTCATTGAAAATCCTAAAGATCAGCACAGTTTGATGGGTCGACAGGAAGCCTGTGAGAACCGCTAACAAAGCCCAATGAGGCGGGAGGGGGGGGGGGGGGGGGGGGGGGGGGGGGGGGGGGGGGGGGGGGGGGGGGGGGGGGGGGGGGGGGGGGGGGGGGGGGGGGGGGGGGGGGGGGGGGGGGGGGGGGGGGGGGGGGGGGGGGGGGGGGGGGGGGGGGGGGGGGGGGGGGAGAGAGAGAGAGAATAAAGACCAACAAGTACACCGTGCTCAAGATTGACTAGGGACTTATAGGGGCAGTCAATGTGAATAGCAATAAATGGTACACCAAAAAGAGAGAATAAGGAAGATGATACCTTCATCAAGCTGGAGACCCCAGACAAATTCTTCCATTTCTGTAAAAACAACCTTATTTTCCTGCAACTCTCCTGCTTTTGTGTTTTGATCATCAGTTGTCTGCCCGCTGGTTGTTGTTGTAGCAAGAAGAGCAACTGCTTCGGGTCCAGATGCTGCCTCCTGCTTCTTAAGAGCTAATTTTCTTGCTCTCTCCAGCGACTTATAGAGGTCTTCATCATCATCTTCAATGAGAGTATCTTCATTGCCATCTAATCTGACTGAGCTTTGAACTAATTGTAGAGATCTTGATGCCTCGTCTGCTTTAGCATAGGCTGACTGGTACGCATTTTGTCGCATTTCTGCTTCAGATCTCTCTTGTTCTGTTTTTCGTGCTTGCCTGCTAGAATCATTTCGGGAACCAAGATCTCCAACACCCAATCCAGAGGAGATTGCTTCTGCTTCAAGGGCATCAATATCTAGCTTTTCCTTCTTTCGAAGAGATTTCTTTTTCTTGGGCTTCTTAAATCGAAGCATTTCATCTTGAGTGTAATAATCATGCGAGACTTTCACTGATGCATTAAGATCTTCAAAGTGTTTGACTGAAGAAGCTCCCTGTAATCTTTTCCGAAGCTGGCAAAGAGCAAAAAGTTTACAGTAGGAAGCTCAAAAAGAAGCACTATAATATACTGAACCATTACCGATCTTCATGGGTAGGGTAGAACGTAGAATACAATTACCTCCTCAAGCTTCTTTTCTGCGTCATTACTAAAGCGTCCAGTTCCATCTAGAGTTAGGCCCTACAACACAAATTGTCCTCAGAGAATGCTTATGCTCCAAGTTTAGAAATGATTCAAGTAAAGAACATGAATAAGATATAGAGCTCCTTATATAAGATTACAGAAACAGAAGCTCAAAAGGAAAGAAGCCCACCTCGTCTGCAGCTGCTGGATCATCATACTGTGGCAGCATCTTCTTCTCACCATCATTTTCATCATTAAACCTATAATAGAAGAATGGATGAGAACTGAGGCAGCCTATAAAACAGTTCATAGAGCACTTAAATAAGTGACTTACTTGTCATCATAAATCCCGGTTTTCTTTTTTGCTGCTTTATAGGCCATGTCTCTCTGCTTCTGTTCTCCAATTTCCACATTCTCAAGTACATCCATATCTGATGCATTAAAATATATAAGTACTTCAGAACTTCGGCCCTGAAATTAAAGGAAAAGAACCAACGTATTTTACCTTCATTAACGTCACCATCAGCTAAGATATTCTGATCTTTAAGGGTTAGCACAACTGCACCACCTCCTAGTACTTTGTCTATGCCATGAAGTACTTTAACTCCAGCTAAATTACCTAAAAATTGCATACAGAATTAAATAAGCTGCCCATACAGAAACATCAAGTGATATCTCTCTCACTTCTAGACATCCTCCCTTGCTGCCTAGAAGCATACATGTGTCCTCGAAATTTTAAAACAATGTTGGGTTTTAATCAGACATAGAAGAGGTATAAAAAGAAAAGAAAAAGCTCAAGAAAAGGAGGAATAAAAAAACTGCTGCTTTAAAGTCGCATATCACTGTGCTTCCATGCTCTAGAAGTAAAGGACGTCTCATATGTCTCAGTCCATTGTATACATTAATTGCATCCTAACCATCGTTATTGTACAAACATATTAAGTGAAATACTGGATACAAATTCTCTTATATTCTTATTCCAACACCTATGTAACCACAAAATATAGTCGTGCAAAAAAAAATTTAAAAATATAACTCATAACTTATAAGAAGAAACACAAAGTATGAACCCATACTAGTTATATCTTCAGCTGCAATATCATCATCGCTTGCACCTTGATCAATATTGTCCTGAAAAATTCCAAAATGCCACGATCACAATCACACATGAAAGTTGTCGTTATGAAAGGACTACAATTGCAAATGACACTGGATTATGCAGTTAACTAACCTGTTCCTCAAAAATCTTTGAGAGCTGCAAGGCTTTCTCTTTTTCAGTAAGTTTCTTCTCCTCAAGTTTACGACTCCTTTTAACCCAGTCTAAAACCTCTGATTCTTCAGTTTGCTTCTTTAGCCTGTCTTCTTTCATGCTGCATCAAGAATTTGATTGATAACGAACTTTTAAATCTATCGACATATCAGTAAAACAGAAAGTACATATACATGCAAATTGACAGTCACAACATAAGGTCAGAAGTTTTCACTTGTAGCAGAAAAAAGAGAGGAAAAAAAAAAAAAAAAAAACTCTAAACCACACATTATAAATTTATAAGGAAAGAAATATCCACAGAGCATCATAGCATCTAAGATAATCATACAACCCTATGTCCAAGTGAGCATAGTATGTGGCCAGTTTGCTAGATGCAATCACAATGATCAATGCAAGGACGAGGTACCCAGAACAGAATGAAACAACAGAACTGCATGTCCTTGAAGGATTAGGAAGAGAGATCCAATTCTTGAATTCTTGAACTTCACCAACTGAATGGGGACAGAAAACTATGAATTTGCAAGGAAAACAACATACATCGCAAACATCAGAGTGATGTGAAATTGAGCAAGCGGTAATTATAAAAAAAATACGCAAAGGTAGTGTCCCATTGGTTTCAAGAGAGAATAGGGTGTGGAATCAAAATGGGACAGAAACAGGATATGAATGGAATCAGTTACATTTTTTGGCTGGATTCTTTTTTATAAGAAACATCAAGGAAATTTATTCTACAAAACAAACAAGAATAAACTAAGGGCCTGAGCCTGGATAGAGAGTACCCTCCAAAAAAAAAAAAAAAAAAAAAAAAAAAAACTACACCAAAAAAGTCTGCCAGTCACTAAANTCAACAGGACTGATTCTTTTTTACTAGATTCATAAAGTGAATATCATAATCATTGAAAGGAATCCTTTCCTTTTAAGTAGGTACCTATAAGAATGGAATGAAATCGACTCATCAATCTCATATGACCATTGCCTGCTCCTACATAATTTGGCACTGAAAAACTCTTAGAAAGCTAATTTCTTGATAAATGGCCAACTCGCCCATCGTTTTAAACACATGACACTGGAAATAATGGCCATGTGCTGATAATATAACGGTTTATCCTTTTCTCTCCAAAAAAAAAAAAACTATTCTCTTGAAGAGGATGCCTTTTACAGAAACAATATATATGCCTAATGTGATATGATAATCTTGATAAATGGATACATATTGTTACATGCACCTTCCATATGTGGTGTTTGATTTATTAGTTGATATATCATATATGAAATAAAGTACAACATACATTCAATTGTATTCAGCAATATTACAAAAGTTTGGTTGTGTCATGGTCTTTTATTTTATATAGGAGGTTGTGTAATAACCGATCAAAACCATAAAAACCCATAACTTATGTCCCTTGTCTCCAGAATTTGATTCAAGCTGACATGTGCTAGAATTTAATCATGGAAGATGCCTGAACTCAATATGTATTTTGGTGTGCCCATCACAAGACCTTTTTGGTATTCACAATCTATTCTAGATTAACCACGACTGACTATTTCATATATATCCTTGGTGAGGGATTTGTCTTCCCCGCCTGAATTTACATCACTAGCTTTGCCATTTATTTTCTTTTAAAATAACTACCTATGGTCATCTTTTCAATAATAAATGATTTTGGTCCGGCTCAAAAGTGTAGAAGGAAGTAAAAGCCTTGGGCCATCGACATTACTTACAAACAAATCAACAAGCAATGTAACTACATCATAAACACTTTTCAAGCTAAGGTAAAGATTTCTCTAAATCGAATAAAACAAATATCAAATACAATAGCATACATTCAAGTTTAATCTACCCAAGGAAAATATTATTATCAGATTACAATAACTGAGTGAAATCTAGAAGGCATCACAGTCAAATTTTGCAGGAGCCCACTTCATTTTTGTTATTACCTACTCGTGTACACAATTGATATTCAAATACATTTACACAAAAAAATCATATTCGTAGCAAAAAAAAAAAAAAAAAGGTGAGTATAAGTTTAAGCAACCTAAGGAAAATATTATTATCAGATTATAAAGAAATAAAGAAAAACTGAGTGAAATCCAGAAGGTATCACAATCAAATTTTGCAGGAACACACTTCATGATTCATTATAACCTAATCTATGCACATGCTTCATATTCAAATACATATACACAAAAAAAAAACATATTTATAGAAAACAAAAGGGTGAGTATCTACTCACGTCCGAATGCGCTCCTCAAGCATAGCTGAAGAAGACTGAGCTCCAACTTTCAACCCATCAGAATTATCTTCACCTCCCAAATGCTGGACTGCATTCCCTTGATCAACACCTCTGTCCCTGTTATCCTCACCATCACTTTCCCCATGTGCAAGCCAATCAATTCTTTCTTCATCATTTTTGCCTCCAATTCCTTCTTTATCTCGTAATTTCTCCTTGTTTTGATCTCCTTTCTTATCATCCACCAAATTTTTCTCTTTTCCTCTGTCCTTATCAATGTTCCGATAGCTTTCTTTCTCCTCTTGATCTCTGCGTTTCTCTCTCCCCTTCTCCCTTTCATTTTCATTTGATCGGTCCTTGTCCTTCTCTTTCTTCTTCCTATCCCTATCTCTTTCCCTTTCCCTTTCCCTATCCCTGTCTTTCTCCTTTCCCCTCTCTTTGTCTTGTCCTCGAACATTATCCTTCTCCAATTCTCTCTCCCTCCCCCGCTCTTTATCCTTTCCTCGATCTTTTCTATCTCTCTCTCTGTCATATTCTTTCTCCTTGTAAACCTCTCTGTCATAATCTTTGTCTTTAACTTTCTTCTCCCTAGTCCTTTCTTTATCATGCTCATCCCTGTCTTCCTTCCTCCTTTCACGAATATGAACTCGATCCCTTTCTGAATCTTTTACCTCTTTCTCCTTTTCCTTTGATGCATCATCACTACGTCTCTTAGATCGATCTCGATCTTTACTTCTATGGTCTTTTTCCTCCCCTCGACTACTCTTCCGATGATCCTCACTCCGATGCTTGCTTGACTTTTCTGCTCCACTATAACCAAAGTCATCCTGTCCTTCCCCACGATCTCTTGCCTCATGACCATTTCTCTCATCATGTTCAGGTACAGATGATCCATCCGCGTCCATTTGCAATTATTTAATAGCTTGCCTCTAAATCTCAGTTAACACCTAAAAAGAATAAGTTATACGGAAAGATGATATACAGAATAGATAATTGGAGCAAACTATGTCAACCACTAAAGCTAAATTTAGGAAAGCATTAGGCATCAGTTCAAGCAAGTAAAGAATGAGCAAGAGTTCCAACTTCCAATTGTTAAATATGAGAAGAGAAACAGACTGAATTCAAAATTAAAACGAAGCTCGTGCTAAGAACAAATAAAAAAAATTAGATGATTAATTTTGCCTATCTAAACCCTGGATATATGAACGATAATATGCCCATAACCATAACCCACCACCTGCATCCCCCCCAAAAAAAAAGTGAATTCCAAAAGGAAAGGGGGAAAAAGCTCCAGACTAGAATAATGTAAGCCACGAAATCTTTCGTTAAAAACAGTGAATCGGTGATACTATGAGGCGGTGGAAATCTCCGTAGCAAACGAGTACGTAGGCATACAAAATTACAAATGAAGTAAGGATGAACGAGGGAAATGGTTACCGCAGCAAACTGGAAGCTGGAAGGCAATGTTGACGAAGAAGCTAGATATAAAGTTCGGAGAAATAAGCTCACAAATCGATGATGATGAAGAAATCGAAAGTCGAGAGAAAAAAAGAAGAGGCTGCAGCGACGATGCAGCAGTGGCTGATTGTGGCGTGCGCAATTCTGACCGGAGGAACTCGAATCAGCACAGAAGGGCGGAGAAGAAACAAATACTTCTTTTGATCCGATTCAATAACCGACCCGGTAATTTGGATCCGGGATTTTGGGCTTTTTTTTTTTAAAAAAAAAAAGAAAATTAAGACCGACCAAAATTTTGTTCGACCCTATCTTTAATTAAAATTCGGCTAAATTAATAAAAATATGAGTAAACTTATTTTCAATATTTCAAAATAATATTTTTTTTATTAATATTCTTCAATTTTTTAAAAAAATTCAAAAATATTCTTTTAAGTATGTATAAAATTTTAAAAGTATATTTAATCGTCTAATAATAAAAATTAAAAAAAATTNTATGGACAAAACTATTTATCCCCTCATTTGAGGGTTATATATTAAAAAGTATTTTTAAAAATTCATAAATATTTTTTTAAAATGTGAATCAACATATTTTTTTTATTTTGATAAAAAAAAAAAAAAAGAATTAGAGGCCTGTTTTATTTTTTTTATAAAAAAAATTAAAAGTATTTTTAAAAATTTTAACAATTTTAAAAAATGGAAGAGTATTAGCGAAGGTGGAAGGTTTATCAAAGCCAATAAAACCTCTGGTTTGTGGTCCCCAGTTGGTCTTCACCTCGAATGCAATCCTCCATCACCACCTGCCCACTTCACTGCCTATGAACACGCCGGTGGCCACATTCCATAATTTCCCTCCGCCGTCAGACAGTTCCGTTCATTGATAAAGCTAAACTATCCGATTGACTTCAACGTTCGGGTAATGTTCGCCGTAAACCCCACTTCCCTTTTCTTCCCTTCCAATCCCACCGCTACACGTCAACAATCCATCTCTCTCTCCCCCTCCTTCCGCCGCAGCTGTGCCACTGCTGGAGACGCCTCGGTCGGCCCTTCATTTTCTCGGCTGTTCAATTTTCCGTCTGTTTCTGCCACCGACGCAACCGGCGGCTTTCGACTCGGACAAGAGTACGACGGCGGAGCTTCCTCCGGCACTGTTGATGGAGTGGGGAGGTCGGGTAGCGGAAATGGTCGCGTCAAAGCAAACGCCATGGAGAAAAAATGGTCGCGGGATAGAGAGAGTTACTTGGTCGATAGTAGCGAGGTTCTTCCTCTTCCTATGACTTATCCGGATTCTTCCCCTGTCCCGCCTGAGGAGATTGATCGACGGCTTCAGTGCGATCCCCAAGTGGAGGTCAGTAATTCGCATCATAACTTTTGATATAGTTCTTCTGAATTCGAACTTGCGCTTCTGGTGCTTTTACTTTTCCTAATTCTGCATATCGTGGAAAGCGATTTGCAGTGGCTTCCCTGTTATGTGCCCTAAAACGTATGTTCTTGACTCATTTGAGAGGTTACTTTGAATTGCTTTAGAAAACGACTTGTTCATTGATTCAATTATCTGGAAACTGGAGATTTACTTGTTACAGTTAAAGCATTGATATTATCAACGACCCTAGCATGCTTTAGCTGAGTTTATCTCCTCAAAATTAGGCTGCATTGGTGGGTTTAATGCCCTTTCCAACCTCACAAATATGCCAGTTATCTCCGTTTTGGAGTTTTGGATTTGAAGCCATTCTTGTAAATTGTAGGATTGTAAAGAAGTGGTGTATGAATGGACCGGGAAGTGTCGCAGTTGCCAGGGGTCTGGATTTGTTAGCTATTATAGCAAAAGGGGAAGAGAGATCACTTGCAAATGTATTCCTTGCCTTGGAGTTGGTATTCCTTCTTCTTCTTCTTCTTCTTCTTCTTCATGTTCCATTTTTCCTAAGGGAACGAACACATAATGCAAATATTAGTGTCTTGCAATATTGTATTGTTGGAGTTTTACTGCTTCTTATCATGAAAACGAAACACTTGTTAATATTCTTCTCGAGTTCAACCACATGTAGGGTGAGAGATTGGATCCTCTAATCTCTGGATCGAGGATATATATCCTAACCATTTGAGTTATGCTAACGTTCTTATTTAGATTGGCGTTTTGTTAATCAAGAGTTATTGCTTGCTATCTTCATTGATGTGCTTTTGGCATTGACAGCTATGAGCATGATATACCCTAATCAGTTGAGTTATGCTTAAGTTGATGCTAATGTCCTTATTTAAATCGGTGTTTTGTCGATCAATAGTTATTGTTTGCTATCTTCATTGATGTGCTTTTGGCATTGTCAACTATGAGCATGATATACCCTAACCAGTTGAGTTATGCTTAGATTGATGTTAATGTTCTTATTTAAATCGGCGTTTTGTCAATCATTAGTTATTGCTTGCTATCTTCATTGACGTGCTTTTAGCATTGACAACTATGAGCATGATATACCCTAATCAGTTGAGTTATGCTTAGGTTGATGCTAATGTTCTTATTTAAATCGGCATTTTGTCTATCAATAGTTATTGCTTGCTATCTTCACTGACGTGCTTTTGACATTGACAACTATGAGCATGATATACCCTAATCAGTTGAGTCCTTATTTGTCAACCAACCATTATTGCTTGCTATCTTCATTGACGTACTTTTGGTATCGATAATTATGAGAATGATATACCCTAATCAGTCTGAGTTAGGCTCAGGTTGACGCTAATGTCACGTTTTGTCAATCAACTGTTATGACTTGTTATCTTCAATGACGTACTTTTGGCATTGAAAACTATGAGAATGACGGGTAGGAAGGAGTACAAATGAAAATCCTAGGAATTTCTGCTCATCATTGAATTTCTTTGATAAATAGGTAGCTTCAATGGTCTACTTTCTGTATCGATCAAGGGCTTTTATCATTCTGGTTTTAAATTTGTCTCAGACAATAGGAACTTCTGTTACAAATGATGCTTCTTCTTCACCAACTAGAAACTCTTTTACACTTCTAATGAAAAGTTCATGTTTTTTACAACACAAAAACATTTTCCTCGTAACTAATGTCGGATTCACTGATACTTCCAACAAGTTTTCATTGTATGCTGATTCTTGTTTTTCATTTCAATGCATTTTCTCCCCTTATATCAATACAATTTCTCCAACCTCTTGATGCTTACCAAAACAACATCTTGACAATGTTGTGTAGTAACTTTGAGGACATGACATGATGGCTGCCTTTCCAATCAAAAGAAATGGACCTAATGGATAGTTCTCCCATTTTTGTGGGCGCTCGCTCCTTTTATATGTCCTTGTGTTCTTTCATTTTTGCTCGTTAAAAGTTCGGTTATTCGTGCTGATTTTCAGAACCTAAATCTTGGTTCAAATTTGCCTCTTCTGGTTGTTTGCAATTCTGCAGGGTATGTGCAGAAGATAACAGCTCGAAAGGACATTGAACTAATGGAGGATTTGGATAATGGAAAACCATTGTGATGTGATTCATTGCATTATTTACTCTCTTTTTTGGAAAATAGTACCTCTCTAACTTCTTCACCCCTGAGGAGTTGTAATTTTTCACACACAGATTATCCTTTGTATTGATAATAGGCAACATACACAACTGAGAGAATGTTGGACTGCTAAGCAAACACTGGCGAAATAAAAGTACTGCAAATTTGGCAGTGAGCTTCGGCCTTGTTCTTCACTATCTTTAGCATTGTTAAGTCTTGATTCTCTGTTACAATCCTGCAAAGAGTTTGTTCTAGATACTATTTTTCAAGTGAACTTATATTTATGTATGTTACGGTTAGAGATTCAACCTCGAGAGAAGGTTACTAATGCTTTAACGGTCAAACTCAAGTTGGTTTTTACTTTTAATCTTTGAAGTTACTTAGAAGTTATAAGTGAATAATCGGTAATTATTCCTTTTGTAGGTAAAAGATACTCTTACATGTTCTATTGACAACTATTTTTTCAAAATAATCTATTTTCAGACCGAATTTAGAATTGAGTTTGGTTGATTCTACGAGACACTTGTAACTACGAGAATATATGTGTACAGGTCAAAATGAATATAACTGAGCAATAATTAATATGTACAATCTTCTTTGAGATCGGAGTGAAACACCTTAGTTTCGAATTTGAACAAAACTAATTGGATAAGATATAGGTGTGTTCGAGTGATGTTTTCGACAACTTTGCTGGAATCACCAAATGGAATATCTTTCCTATTTTGTCCCTTATCAATGTTGATCATTTCAATCATTCACCCCTCTATTGTTTTAACCTTAAAGAAAGAAAGAAAGCATCAAAAGGGTAATCCAGACAATTGACCGCAGTTCAGGGATATATTCGGTAATTCCTTGAGTCAAATCAAGCTCGACTGCAATATAAAGCCGCCGCCTTTTGGCGCCAAAATCAGGATTTTGAACCGATACCAATTGCTGCTCCGTCGCCGGGAGAAACTTTCTACATTTCGAGATTGTGAAGTACAATCTCGGCGTTGGTTTGTTGAGCAAACTAATTGAGGAATTTTTTCTCATGGAAGACGAAGATGAGATTGTCCCAGCCTCTGATATTAGCGATTCAGGCGATGACTACACCGACATGAATGATGAAGGGTCTGAAGACGGGAACGAGGACGGCGAAGAGGAAGAGGAACAATCTTCCAGCCTTTCTCCTTCATCCGATGAGGATCTAAAATCGAAAAACGTCGATGCTCTCTTGAGGTATAACTCCCTAATCCATCTTTTTAGAATTCTAGGGCGCTTCCCCNCCCCCCCCCTTTCAACTATTGATTTTAAGTTACTGCGAATGCTAAAGATTCCTTATGGTTCAAAGTAAGCTAAATAATTAGCCTGCAGGGCTCCGATTGAACTAGATTAATTGGTTTCAGAAGAAGGGAAAGAGAAAAGAACTTGAGAGTTTTTGCTCTCGGAAACTGGTTGATTTTGTTTCCACATTCACATAGTGGTCGATCATGATATACCCAATGTCTAATTTCTTTGTTCCCCGGTATGCTGTCTCCTGAATTATGAAATTTCGATATTTGGAAATCAATGATTCTAAATATTAAACTTCTTATTACATTAGATGAAAACTTCAATAATGAAATATTCGAGGAGCTGAGTTCTAAGCTGCAGAGTTCTTCAGGATGAAGTATGATAGAGCAAAAAATAAGGCTCCATCTAACAACTTCTATTTCTACAGATTCAGTACTGCACTTTTATTGCCTTTTTATTTTTGGGTTAGGGTTCTTGGACACTGGCCACACATTTAGTGGCTCTTTTCCATTTTGAACTTCTATTAATTTGAAAATTACAAATCAGTCTTGTGATTATATCCTACCAGAGGTAACCTGGTCGTGAGAAGACAATCGCTACTCCCAAGAGTTCTCTCAGTGGCAGAAGGCGCAGCAGTCTGTAGAAAACCTTTTAAGCCTCCATGCTCAAGTGGCTATGATGAAAGAAACAACCAGCTTGCACATCGACTGTGGGCACGAAAACGATTTGTCCCTTGGGGCTCGTCAAGACCAGTGTCACCTGTAATTTCTTATAACTTATTTGTCCCAAAAATTGCTGAGAAAGATGTAGTGGAGGAGAATGTGACCCTACCACCTGGGATCGATCCTTTGATCTTGTGGCAACCTGAAGACTCCGAGCTCGATGTCACTAATTTAACATCAATCATAGTAGATCCAGTGCTAGTTCGTTTCCTCCGCCCTCATCAGAGGTATCATTTCTGATTTATTTTGCAGTATGTTTCAGTAGATGGTCCTAATCAATAGTGTTTAAAATTCTCACGACCAAAACACAGATCTAGTCGAGCAGGACGCCATCTGTCTTTCTCATTGTGGTTCAGTCTTTAATCGCGTAAAGCAACCAAAACAATTAAATAGAAAGAAAAGATGAATTGAACCTAGAAATTTCTTGGAAAATGTATCATGCAGTTTTATTGACTGTATTGACGGGATGAACATATTTAACTCTTTTTGCAGAGAAGGTGTACAGTTCATGTTTGAATGTGTTTCAGGGCTACATAAGGGGACAGACATATTTGGGTGCATTCTGGCAGATGATATGGGGTTAGTCTTCCTCTCTCTCAAACATATGATCAAAACACAAAATCAATTATCTGCAATCATTTTCTCTCACATCTTTAAAGGCGTGTCCGTAATGATTCTGCAGTTTGGGAAAGACATTGCAGTCGATCACCTTACTTTATACCCTTCTTTGTCAAGGGTTCGATGGAAAGCCAATGGTTAAAAAGGCTATCATTGTTACACCTACCAGTCTTGTGAGTAATTGGGAGGCTGAAATTAAGAAGTGGGTTGGAGAAAGGGTTCACCTTATTGCTCTCTGTGAAAGTTCCAGAGAGGATGTTGTCACTAGCATCGACAATTTTGTACATCCCAAGAGTACTTCACAGGTATATTTATGTGCTTATTCTGGGATATCTACAAACAATGTTTTAGCTGGACTCGTTAAAATAAATTATGATTCATACATTCGTAGGTGCTGATTATTTCATATGAGAAATTTCGTATGCATTCATCGAAGTTCAGCCAAAGTGAATCATGTGATTTAATCATATGTGATGAAGCTCACCGATTGAAGAATGATCAAACATTGACAAATCGGGTATAACATGTGTGCCCTCATTATTCTATTCAGTTCTTTTTTACTTAGAATTGTTTCTATATCTCCTCTTTAGGCACTGGCTTCTTTGTTGTGCAGGCGTAGGATTTTGTTATCAGGAACTCCAATGCAGGTATTTTTTTTCTTCTTTCCAAAAGAATTAAGAAACCAATTTCCTTATGTAGGCAATATAGGCAATACTCATTTGCCTCAAATCCTTTTGAATCCTTAATTTTATGTACTGTTCTTCTTCTAAGGCTTTAAACTTTTTCATTTTTTTAATATGCCCTTCTCTCATCTACAGAATGATCTAGAAGAGTTCTTTGCCATGGTTAACTTTACCAACCCAGGAATTTTGGGTGATGTTACATATTTCCGTCGATATTATGAGGTGAGCTTACTTTTTTTTTTTTTTTTTTTTTNGGGGGGGGGGGGGGGGGGGGGGGGGGGGGGGGGGGGGGGGGGGGGGGGGGGGGGGGGGGGGGGGGGGGGGGGGGGGGGGGGGGGGGGGGGGGGGTGGATGGGTTTGAGGGTTAAGCAATGGGACTTGTGAATCCTGATTTATGTGGTCTTTTTATTTTTATGAGTTAATCCTTTCGTTGAAGTGACAAGCGAGAAAAAAAAAAAACAATAAATTAGCCAATCAAGTGCGTGTACTTGTTTCAATATGACATTGTGAACTTTAAGGATGACAGAAGTGGAAAGCTCCTTTTAACGAGGATAAATATCAAGTTTTGCTAGGCCAATTCATATGAGTCCAGTGTTGGAATTTCTTCTTGTAATGGAGGCGTTCTTGATGTTTACTCTCTTGAAGCTTATAATTTTTTATGGTAAAAAACTTTCACCGACATTTTGTGAAGGCACCAATTATTTGTGGAAGAGAACCTACCGCTACAGAGGACGAGAAAATGCTGGGTGCTCAACGCTCTACCGAACTAAGTGAAAAAGTTAATCAGGTAATCTCCTTTGTCAGAGGAGCCATGCGAAAATCTAAGCAATTAGATATACACATACTTGTTCACTTGACTTTTACACACTTCGTGTTCACTTAATTGCATTCCAAAATATTCTTGGCAGTTTATACTACGGAGGACCAATGCACTTTTATCAAATCACTTGCCACCAAAGGTACGCCATAATATTATCTATAACCAAGGTGAATCTTGGTATTGCTTATTTTGATCTTTTCCTTCTAATTTATAATTTTCTTCATCTGAACAATCTTTATCTAGTCTGATTGGTCTAGAGTTCCTTGTATTTATAAAAAAGAAGCAAAGCTCACTACAAAAGCTTGTTTAATTTCTTTTCTATTAAAGAGATCCATGTGTATTCATTATTTAAACATATTTATGAATAGGAAGACCATTCTTTTCTGTAATGTATCATAGATTATTAGTGATTGGTGTTAATTGCTATCAACTTTATCATTGTCTCTAGGAAAAGTTCTCTCATTAATGAAAGTGTTGGTTTCTGTTTAGAGAAAAATGGGATGCTATGGTTCTTTGTTTGGATGCAATCAAAGCTGTTATTCGTGGTATTTTTGGTTGGAAAGGAGTAGAAGAGTTTTCCACAAGGAAACTAGAGATTAGGAAGTTGTTCAGGGCTATGTTTCTTTTGGTTTCTCCTTTGGAGTTCTTCTTCTGTTGGTAGTCCCTTGGAAGTTTTACATTTCACTTCTATTGACGAAATATTTGTTTCTTATTAAATGAACTTACCTTCATTTGGTAAACCAAAAGCTGTGTTATGTAAGCTTTTACTTTTTTCTGCAGATTGTTGAAGTCATTTGCTGCAAATTGACTCCTCTCCAAGCAGACCTATATAACCATTTTGTACAGTCAAAAAATGTCAGCTCAGCGCCTGTTTTGTTTATTTATTTATCGAAGTAGTTATTCTTATTGGTTGTTGCGTCTAACTATACTAGGGTTATATTTTGTGGCGTCAATACAGGTTAAGCGAGCAATTACCGAAGAACTAAAGCAATCTAAGATTTTGGCCTATATAACTGCACTTAAGAAACTTTGTAATCATCCAAAGGTATGATGTACTTGAGTTCTAAGAGAGATTTCTTTTA